TTATCTTATCTTCATCCAAGCCAGAACCAAACACTAGTAAACATTCGTCAGCTGGGCCGCAGTCATGTCTCACACCACCCATTCCTAACCCGAAACTCTTTCTGCGTACAGTCAAGCCTATGGAGCTTCCACAAGAGATTATCGATGCGATTATTGACTGCGTGGCGATATCGCCCAAGGCTTTGGTCCGGAGTCGAGGTACATATACACCGGGAGCCGGCTGCGTCAAATAAAAAGGCACTGAGAGTAGGGTCTTGTATTTAATTCTTGTATGTATACCGGTTTATAAACAGCTGTTTATAAACCGGTTTTTAATTGGTTTGGTCCAAATGGCCTGTTTTTAATTACATTCGGACCTCGGGCCGGAGGCAATCCTCGCAGTGTTTTTGACTTTCAGTTGACCTCCAGTAATTGTCCGGCAGGGGAAAACGGACGCACAAAGGAGGAGTAACGCATAAACCAAATTGTAAAGGGCATCAAAAGGCACCCGTACATTTTTTCGACAGCAATGATGTCCAAATAACATGCTCAGAATTCGTTTGTAAGAAATATTGCAATCCACGGCCAATAGCGAGATGTTCTGCAAGGAAGAGAGTCGAAGACACACCGTAGGTCTCAATTTTTGAGATGTCGGCCCCCCCGCAGCTCTTTTTCCCGATATACCATCCTTGTTTATAAACATATTTACAAACAGGCTGTTTATAAACAATGTTTGTAAACTGGTTTTTAATTGCTCAGGAATTATATACAAGACCCTAACTGAGAGCCTGTGCTCTTGCCTCTCGCTCGTTTCTCCCCCGGAGCCAAAAACACCTCTTTGCTTCAGTAACATGCGTCGCAGATGCAGTACCCCGCTTCGACCGGCTCCTTTCTCGTTCGCTGCACCTCGGCTCATACGTCGAGTGCTTTGTCTTCCGTCGCGTTCACAACGCTATGTTTGGGCATTGCATCACACGAATACTGCATCTGTTGCCCAACCTGGACCACCTCCAGGCGAGCTTTGGCTGGAACGGCAACCACCCATTCTCACAACGGTTCTTCAATCAGTATTACCCTCCCGTCTGCGGATTCTCTATCTGTCCGACTTTGCTTTTGCCGACGCTGCAGAACTCGAGTCCCTGCTCATGCACGCCACTTGCTTGAAAGAGCTGACGTTATTGGATATCAAGTTCAATAATGTGGCATCCAGTCATCAGGCGGGTTCCCCTCCTCGTGGAGCGCTTGTGCACCCGGAGTACCTCAAGTTCTACCGAATCTCTGGGCGCGACATCGATGCGATGCTGTCTACATTCAGCGCCGTCGATATCAGACACCTCCGATTTCTCGATGTACTCTGGTCACCTATAGTGGCGATCCTCAAGGCAAACGCGCACACAATCCAAGAAATCAGATATCGAGTATCAGAGAGTGTGTATAAACTAATCTGCACCGTGTATGCACGTTGTTCACACCTCGTAGTCGAACCGATCGAGGCAGGAATTTTAAACGGCAACACCAGTCTACGCTTCATCGCGATTGCGCCCCAGACGTCGGACATCTTTTCCCTCGTGTCGGCCCTGCAGCTGTTCATGCACTCGGGCCCGTTGATGGGGCTTAAAACGGTTACCCTCAATCTCGGCTGGGACGTAGACCCCGATGGGAAGGCGTGGTCGGACCTCGACGCCGCCCTCGCCCAAGTCAAAGATACGCTGGAAGCGGTGCACATCTACAGGCAGAGAGACCCTGTGCTTGAACGGGCGCCTGGCTTGGCGCGCCTCGAACGGTGGTTGCCATCGGTGGCGGGTAAGATTCTGGCGGGTGTTCCCGTCTGGCCGTGTGAATAAATGACCTATTTCTTCGCCTGGAACCGCTGTTTCCCACCGCACACGGTGGTCCGACTGCAGATATGACCCAGTTAATAAAGTAGTGCATGTTCATCGATATCGTTCATCGCCGACCTGCAATTCTTTTTTTGGTTCAACCACTCATTTGACTACCATTAAATATTGGGGTAAATAGGAATAGGACCCAGTGGTGTAACAGAAAACACACCAGTTTTATGAAGGTACACGTCACCAACCGAGTACAACACCTACATAGATGAATAGACAAACAGACAATATACGCCTTCCTCCTTAAAAAGATAGGATACCGAGCGTCCCAGCTTTCAATACTTTGACTTAAAGTCTGCCAGCCATCCCTTCACGAAATCAACCTCCTGTTGATGTATAGCTTGTATCTCAGGCGGCTCTTGGCTATGATCCGCCAATCCGTTTTCGTCGTAGTGATGGACAGCATCTAGAGAGAAGTCGTCTGATACTCGCAAAGATGAAGAGAACAGAAGAACGAACTGGGTATTAGCTTGAAGGGCCTTAATGGCGTATCCTCCCTGAATTCGGTCGGACCGATGAAACTGTGAGGGCAGTCGAAGCGCCAAGGGTCAACTACGAGGAAAATTGATGAACACAAGCAGAAAATTTGAGGATAAAAGCTTACCCTCGCCATCGATGATAGCTAACCGGTCGTGAGCGATATTAAACCCGCCGAGCTTGTTGACGTCTTCGATATTAGGCATCGGTGGTACTTGGAAAAAATCTCCAGGAGGATATGCTTGTTTGCATATCTTAGAAGAGTAGTCGACGTCCACAAATTTGGATAGCATGCTCGGGATGGAATGGTCCGGAGGGGGTGACTGTTGAAAGTCGATCAGAGACCTGACCTTCGGCATGGCGCGAGGTCCAACTTACGTCGAAAAATGCCCACTGGGTACAAACTTGAAACTGCCATAGTCTCCATGTCTGGGAAAGATCCGTCCGTTGAAGGTCTGTATCGTTCAAGGTTCCAAAACACTAATAGAAAAAGCTCAGAGAGAATTAGAGCTGCCTCATGGTTTTGACCTCGTCTGATGTAGAAGTCTTGGGGCATCTGCTTGAAGTCTGAAAAAGTCATAAATGACCATATTCACAAGTACTTCACAAATCGATTTTCACCTTATTGACAATGGTGGCAAGATTCCACGTAGCATTGCTAACAGTGATGCCTTGGAATGTGTCAATTTTTGCATTACTGGGATTTCCCATGGCGGCACAGTTGTTCGAAAATGAGTTGCTATTGACTGCTGGATCCCAGTTTTTGCTTTGCCACGCTCCCAGAGGGCCCTGCATTGTCAAAACACCGATAAGAGGCAATGCTTCGGGGACGGCGCTAGCTCACAGCAAAGAAAGAGGTCAAATCAGCTTCCAGCGTCAATCCCGGCATTCCGAAGAAGCTCTTGACTTTAGAATTCGTCTCTGGGTTGGAGAGGAGGTTATCTACTTCCTTCACAGCGGTAATGAATTGAGCGGAACAGTTGGCTGGTGCAGCTCTGCGGATGATGTCATAATAACCCCAGTTACTTATAGCGGCTTCAGTAACTCCACTCGAGGCTATGGATCCGAAGACGATGTCTGGGTAGAGGACTTTCATGTGGGCGGAACGTGCTCCAGCGTAGGAACCCTTATCGTAATTTCATCATTTCTTTGATATGTGTTGCAATGAGAAAATACTCACACCATAGTAAATCCAAGGCGTATGTGGAGCGGTGAGGTCCTCCGGAATTCCAGCGAACTTGACATTGGTCATGAAGTTTGCGGAATCGGCGGCTGCTTGCTCGTTATTGAGCCAGCTGGATATAAATTATGCCCATAAATCTAAGTCTGTACACGAAAAAGCATACCGTAGCGAGTCAGTCGTGAAGTTTTTGACCGGGACAGATACTCCTGAGAAGATATATAAACCAATAAATTCTATATTGACCTGTAACAGATGTCAAAGAACGCACCGTAGTACCTATGCTCCAAAATTACACCCAGTCCATTCGTTGCATTCGCTAAAATATCCACGATCCCGGTATCAAGAAAAGGTAACCTAGCCGTCACGCTCGTCTCTCCACCGTCCAGAACGATAACCGGTCCACCAGGCTTATAATGTCGAGAGTTGACAAAATATCGCTGGTTCCAAGTAAAGCCAGTATTGGTGAAATGGTCCAAAGGTTGTGTGAAATTAAAAACGGGAAAAGAAGTGGTTTGTCGCTTTGCAATTGGAGTCACAGTGGGGCTTGATACCCTATTCAGCCGATCAAGGCGCTCGAGACGGTGATCGATGAGAGTTTGTAATGTGGGTTTGAAAGCGGAAACGGAGGCGCAGAGGATTGGAACCAGGGAGAACAAGATCAGCTTCAGATTCATGGTGGTGATGGATCACTGCTGATCGGTGTTGAGGGTGTCTACAGAGACGGCTGGCACCACGTCGTCCTATATATCTTTTCCTTTAAACATATGGTGCCCTCCGATTGGGTTCTATCAATACAGAAAGAAGAAAAGAAGCACCAGCCTGCGGGTGGGTATCGTTGATCGACTCGGAGAATTGGTGCAGCCACTGAGCGAGGATTAGTCCATCGTGACGAAACTAAAAGTACGCTGTACAGGATAAGCGGAACTAAAGAGCGTTTCGCTCTTTGAATAGACTTATCAGCCCAAGAAGATGGAACTTACCCACAGCCATATGGCGAGCCGAGTCTGGCCGCCTCTATCCGTCTGGAGCAATCGTATTCCTAGACTGTCACCCGTGCCCGTGACGAGAACGGCCATCGATCCGACGGGCAAGCGACGGACACGGCTGACCTTCGAGAACTTCTGACAGGACGGAACGGAATCTGCACTTACCACGGTGCTTGCTGGAATCCGAAGTGGTGACCACCCACGTTAGCCATAGAACATGGACGGTGTCTTGGCGTAGATTTATCGAGAGCGCGCGACTGATAGTGGCGGCTGGGTCTTGTTTTTCTTTTAAAAATACCAATTCTTGTAGTCATTTTCCGGTGCCAGCGGGGCTGAGGTAGTAATTCATCTTCTTCTTCGTCCTTGTTCCGCATGCCCGGAACTGCACTTCTTCCTGCATTTCCCATGTAAAGTTTGCAAAGTTCAATAAATCATCCATTCCCCTTTCTCCCATCTCATTCCATCCAATATTATATAGATATCGACCCAGTGGTGTAATGCTCAACACGCCAGCTTTCATTGTGGCCATGAACAACCGTTGCGTAAGCTGGAGCTCCCCGTTCGACTCGGGGCTGGGTCATCGCAAAGTCATTCCAAATTTTTTTTTTTTAACTTAATTATTTCGACATTTGGACCCGCACATGGCATGGACCTGTGATACTATACTACACTGCTAGCCCGGATGACATAGGAATCCGTGTGGATTGATGGCCCGTTGACATATCAATGTGATTCCGTTCGCGTTTCGGCCATTATCCCATTGGAATTCACTGGTTTGGCAGCTCGTCGAATTCCGACGGTCTCGCCATCAACTTCAGAACATCCGGCCATCGGGGCCGAAACCTCCCAAGAAGTCTTACTCGAGGATTTGCACTGTTCCATTAACACATACCGAGTACTCTCTCAATGCGTAAGTTGTGTAAGCAGAGCTCTAATGCAATTATTATGCAGTGGCTAAAGCATTCCTTTGAAGCTTCTCTCCAATTACTGCCCGTTCTGTATAAATAAAATAAAATAAAAGCTGCAACTTGGCATGTCTCGGTCTGGGTCCGGGGGTCTACTCTTGCAGCAGGGACTTGAAAGTGTGCTATTGCAACTATATAAGTGAAAGAGATTATCATTTTACATAAATTGCGTCAAGGTACACATATGCTGCCGACAAAAAATTGCCTTGTGCCAACCTTGGCGTTATAAATGGTGGGTTGGCTGCCTCGTTGTATCATATCCTCTTCCAAATCAAACCCCAGTGTCTTCTTGTGGCGAAGTGGTAATGATGTCAATGGAGTTCTTACTTGCGGTCACTCGTTCGAGTCTTATTTCGTTCTTTTTCCATTTATTTTGAAACAAAATTCCCTCTTTCTTACCTTCAAATTTGGCCTCTGACTTGTCTTTCGATTTACTGTGGCCTGGCCATTGAATTCCGACGAGCTGGTTAAACAAAGGCATCCATGAGACCGCCCATCGAAATCCGACAGCCATCAATCCCCTTGGATTTCTATGTCATCCGGGCTAGCCGTGTAAGTCTCAGTGGTGTGATGGCTAACACACCAGCTGTTACTGTGATCTAGTCATTATGGTAGGCTGAAGCTTTCCGTTCGACTCGGGGCTGGGTCATCCATATTTTTTTATCGAACTTCTATTTATTTCGACTTGGTCTTACTTCTCACAATTGTAGCATTTAAATACGACCCAGCGGTGTAATGGTTAACAAGCCAGCTGTGACTATAGCAAGTTTCACCATCCTTGCGCTGGAGATCTCCGTTCGATTCGGGGCAGGGTCGACTTTCTTTTTTGTTTTATTCATTTATTCTATCTGTTTCTCGTGGGCAAGCCGTTATGGTCCTAGATGTGCGAGACGAGGGAGGACAGGAGCGCCTGGTCATGCATGTGAGCGCACAATGTCGGATTTGGGGGTGTGTGCACACCGGGGGCGCAAATCAAGCAACCCCTCCAGACCCGGTCGAATAATGATCGCGAACAGCGAACGAGCACCAGCAAATAACAATAATATATCTATTGCAACTGCAATTCCTGTAGCGTAGCGTATGCGGTGGGTAGCGGGTACAATTTGTAAGTATGAGTGGATGCGGGGAGAGAGGGATGGATAAAGATACGACGTACGACGCGCGCCCGCCGCACGAGCACGCTCGCACCCAGAGCCCAGAACCCAGAGGAAAGGGTATATATGGCGCGCAGGACCCACGATGCGGCGCGCACGACGATGACGCTCGCTACGCCCGCCACGCTCACTCCAGCCCCAGCGCCCACGCGCTCTGCTGGCGCTCCTCCGGCTCGCGTATGTGCCGCTTCACCGCAGCCGCCTCCTTCCCGCCCTTGCTCCCCACGCCGATGCGCTCCAACTGCGTCTGCGCCCGACGCAGCTCGGCCGCGAGGTACGCCTGGTGCGCGGCGGGCGAAGACCCCGCAGCCGGGGGCGCGGGGCGCGAGAACGGCTGGGGCCATGCGTCGCCGCTACCGTTATTGCTGGTGTTATTATTATTGCTGTTATTGTTGTCCGTGCTGCTCATGGGCGGGTACCCCGCCAGCTCGACCGCCATGCGATCCATCGCCGATGGCGGTGGCGGCGGTGCTGGTGTTTTGAATGTGGATGCAGGCCCAGACCCGCCGAGGGTAAGGGTCGGAGGTGGTGCTCGCGCCGGCGCGCGCGGCGCAGGAAGAGGAGGCGGACGAGGGCGAGGGCGACAATGCCGGCGATGACGGCGAGGGAGACGCCGACGATGAGCCCCACGGGTGCGTCGTGCTCGTCGTCCGACTTGAGGTGCGGCCGACCCGTCGCCTTACTATTCCAACTTTATTAGGTGCCAAGAAGACTCGTAAAAAGGAAGGACGGACGCGGGCGCATCTGTCTCGATGGCGGTGTCGGGCGGTTCGCCCGTGAGCGGGAGGCCGACGGTGCGCGCGACGGGCGGCGCGGTCAGAACCATGGCGGACGCGGTTCAGGGACTCAGCCCGAGGTCAAGACGCGGAGCGAGGGCCCAAGAGGGTGCAAGGCCCAGGGTTGGCCCAGGGAGAGATCTCGAGACATACCCGGGCGTCACGGTGAGTCGGTGACAAGTGGCAACAGGGTCAATCAACGCCGTTGCACAGCAGCCGCAAATAAACGACGTCCAGATCCACTGACAGGCCGCCTCTGCCCTTGTCTACCCGGCGTCTTAAAAAACCCCTCAAGGCTCACCATCCTGGCCTGCCGCCTATTCTTAACAAGCAATTTTCCCGGTTCCGCGCACGTCGTTGCATCCTTAGCGCCGTCATCTCACGTAAAACGCCAGGTGCGCGTTTCGTCCAATACATTATGTGGATGCACCTCCCGCATATATGTGCAAGATTTATGCCACCTTCCGTTCCATCCGCCGCAACAGGCCGCAACATAACATAACATCCAACGAATCAGTCTCCGGCTCTACCTACACACCCAAATAAGTACCCACGTGCCCGCCTTGCTTCCTTCCTTCCTTCCCGTCCCTGACACTCACATCCGCCAACAGACACGCGACACCGTCCATAAGCGTGCGATACAAATCCAGTTCCAAATATTCATTTGATGTGATGTGACTCACCCTCGTCGTTCTCCAGAGCCGTCTTTGAATATACTTGCAGCTTTGACCGCGCTATTGGTTGAATAGTGATCAAACGCGCTTTTTTTTTCGTTGGTTGAATGGTGATTGCCGCCCGCAGGAATATACGGCCGCACGGAGTTGACATCCGGACGAGCGATACGAGGCGGAGCATAAATACTCTTATAAATAAAACGCAGATTTGTGCTGGTCTCATATACCCAGGGCTGAAGGGAGGGAATGGAAAGGTCTGGTAGCGTATTAGTAACCGCACGAAATATACATGTACATACTTACTCGCCTGTGCAGACCGGCTTTTGACGCTGGTCAGTCAATATTCTCGCGACGAACCTCTTAACTAACAGCGCGGCATCGGAGATTCCTTTGTAAAAAAAAAAAAAAGAGCGCGACTCACCCCGCCCAACGCGAGCACGCGTACTTCATGTACGTATATATATACGACACCGAGTCGCGTTAATAGTATGGCCATCCGGACTAGAAATAAAACCAAAAAGTGAAAAGAAACGATGACGCAGCCCCGAGTCGAACAGGGACCACCAGCTCATTTAGATTTTAAGCAATTAATGCGAACTGGAGTGTTACCACTATACTGCCGAGTCCTCCAGTCCATCTCAACATCGACTGGTAAGGATACTTTTGAGGCGCGGAGGTGAATTGATTCCGGATGAAGTATTTATTCACCATGATTTTTCCGTCGGTAAGCATACATATTCAGCTGGCATCGTACACATCTACATTCGGCGAGGAGCCCCATACAACGTCGGAGCGCTGGCCATTTCATCACTGCGTCAACAAATCACCTGCTCATGAAATTGAAATTGAAATTGAAATAGGGGAGGAAGTCAAGAAAAAACGACCTAGCTCCGAGTCGAACGGGGATCGCCAGCTACCCTTGATTGCTAACGACCCAATACAAGTTGCAGTGTCTCCATTACACCACTGAATCCTTCTGGACTCATTTCAATATCGAATAGTAGGGATAGCTTTTGAGCCGGAAAGAACTACACGCCCGTATAAAAATCAAAGCGGCAATAGACGAATCCCAGTTGATTTTTTTTTTGGCCCTCAGTATACGTGCTATTCAGCTGGCATCGTACACACCTACATTCAGCGAGGAGCTCCATACAACACCGGAGTGTTGGCCATACCCCACTGCACATATATAATCAACTGCTCACGAAATTGAAATTGAAATAGGGAAGTCAAGAACAAAAAAACGACCCAGCTCCGACTCAAACGGGGATCACCAGCCTAATGATCGGATGGAAGCACAATGCAAGCTGGAGTATTACCACTACACCACCGAGTTCTTCTGGACTCGTCTCAACATCGAATGCTGGGGATAGTTTGGAGGCGCACTAAATTGATTCCGGCTGAAGTATTTATTCATTTTTCCATCGGTAGGTATACATACATATTCAGCTGGTATCGTACACACCTACAGTCAGTGAGGAGCCCTATACAACGCCGGAGCGCTGGCCATGCCCCCCTGCACATATATATAATCGACTGCTCACGAAATCGGAAACTGAAGAAGGGAAGTCAAAAAAAGAAACCAAGCCAGCCCCGAGTCGAACGGGGATCGCCAGTTACCTTTGATTGGAAACGAACCAATACAGGCTGGAGTGTTTCCGCTACACCACTGAGCCCTTCACATAATGAGTTTATCTCTTTATCATGTAGCGTGAGACAGAAACAAGAAGAAAAAACTCCGACAATAGAGGAGTCCCGGAGACGAATGAATTCCAGCCGAAGTATTCATCTATTTTCATGTCGGTATGCATGTTCAGACGTCATGGCACTTGTGTATATTCAGCGAGGGTTACACGGAGCGTCAACCTCACGAAAATCGACATGAAGAATTAAACAAAGGGAAGTCAAAAAGAAAAGAGTGACCCAGCCCCGAGTCGAACGGGGATCGCCAGCCTACTCTAAATATCAAAAGGAGCAATCGATTTGCAAGCTGGAGCGTTTCAATTACACCACTGAGTGGGTGACTTTCCACGGTGGTTTAAAAAGTCTGGGGAATATCTGAGCTTTTCCGGCTGTGTTGCCGAGACAGCTGTCAGGACCCCGAAAAAGCCATCACCTCAAAATGGATGGATTTTAATGTGAATCTATAGAAATTTGTAGAGGGGGTAGGGACCCCTGTACAGATTTTAATAACCACATTGTTGCTCAAATAAAACGGTGTAGGCCAATACTCCGGTGATCCTGCCGGATTGGGTTCTTGTCACATCTTGGCACACTTGTTTGTGCTTCCTCCGTCATTCGCTCTTCATGCTCGTTCCACGCCGCACCAGTCATAACCCAAGACACAGCTCTGGTTCCCTCTGGTGACCATTTACTCACAAGTGTCTGTTACTCACCATGTAACCCTCTCAACATAAAGTCTAATTGATAAATTGCATCTGACGTGACGATGCAAGCCTCCCTGATGCTGTACCTTCGGGATATAAGACGGTTCCAAACGGATGGATTACTTTGGCCTGATCGTAACGCGCTCTTCACGCATCTGGCGGACACATCTTTGCAGTTCTGACGTCATGAACGAGCTCGCCGCAAAGATATTCGAGAATACCGAATACTCCGCGATTCTCAACCACAGGAGGCAGTTGATGGGATTAGACGTTTGGAGCCGGTCATTATTCCTGTCCGCGAAGTTAGACTCAAGGGTCTCGAGGTTACCGAGGTCCTCTCTTTTTCCCATTCTTTTTCCCGCTACACTTATTGAACGAAAGAGCATCGACGATTCTACCGATTCAAAGAGCACCTCCAGATTTCCGTTCAACATCGCTCAAGTTCGGGATTTTGCTATGTTATGCCACCGACTCGAAATTACAAGCTTCTAAGCGCGTATTCCGGCCAACTCCCACTGCAGAGGCCTCGGACCCACCTGTGGTTCTGTATGGCGATCCGAGTGTCTTTTTACCTCCTACCACCGACATTACCGAGGCAGACCTTCTAATGTTGCTTTATTCCCTGACGATCCGGATTGAGAACGTCGGCCGTATAATGCAGACAAGCGCGATGCGGAGATCCCCCACGCTGAACGAGAGGGATGAGCTGGTATCCGCATTGAAGGCCTTAGATGAGCGGACGTTGGACGAAGTATGGGCCATGGTGCGACGTGGTAATTGATTATTTGTCTTGGGTTTGTTCCTTCTGTATTACCAGAAGGCACTGTACAATAAACAATTCTCAATCATTTCATACATTTATCTCCCGGGCTCAGCAGCCTACCCGTAAACGCGGCTAGCACAGAAGTTCATTCGCTCCACATGGATAGCCTATAGTCGTTAAGAAATTGCGGCGTTCCCAGGTGCCTGGTTTGAGAAAAAAAATAGGTTCATCAAACCGGGCAATTGCAGGCAAGAAGCGCAAAGACAACACATGTGACACGGCCTTGGCGTTAGAAAACTCTTTCCGCCATATACGCGGTCTTGCCTGAAAATTCAGGTTAAACTGCATACCGGACATGAACAAGTCTCATCGCCTACCTGGCCAGCTGGCATACACTGTCCAGGGAAGTCCTGGGCACCTCTATTGACACTGAGTTCATATATACGATTTAAAAGGACAGAATGGGCGGGCGGGATCAGGTATTAAGATTGGAATTTATTATGGGCGACACTGGCCGACTCGGATAGAACCGGGCAAGTGATTTTCATACATATATGATACCGGCTCGTTGCGGAACTCCTCTATGTATGTATGTAATCCGCTCACATGCTGAACGCCCCCGTTCAGCCCACTAAATAACAATGCACCGCTCAAAGTGAAGTACCGCAGGTTTTGCAGAGAGGAAACTATAGAGTGAGTGAGGTGTGGTCAAAGGATTTTCCCCTGACGCCGAGGACCCTGATGGAAGACGCAAAATAAGGTCGATTAATGCCTGAGGCATGATTAGATTTTGGGTCATTAAAGTCGCCGAGATGAAACACGTCCGAGAAACAATCCATCACAGAATTGAGTACCCAAAGCACAACATAGATGATTGGGAAATTTTGATAGAGCTACAACGAACCGGAAGACTGGCTTGTATGCTCAATACATAGCGTCGGGTAAGTCCTCGTAAGCACGCCGGCTATGAATCAACACATGCAGAATGCCCCTGCTGTTCAAGGTGGGCAGCCAATGAGGAAGCTCGTCGACCTTAAGCCTATCCTCTGAGTTGGGCAGCCAAAAACCAAAGCCGCCCACCCTGAGCGTATCCTCTGAGTTCATAACTTCCTTCGGTAGTTCAACATTCACCGCGATGACTGGCAAAAGTTTGAGGGCGTCGTCGAGGCTCCGCCACATTCCCTCGTGGCTACGTGCAGGCACATCGTTCAGCCGCAGGTTAATGGTCTGCAGATGCCTTCCCTGTAGCCATGGGATTATCCCGGCGAGGGAGTGGGAGAAGATGGTGAAGTGTATGGATGTGAGGTGCTCCGCACATGCCACTATTTCTGCGTCCTCGGGAAGCTCTGATTGAGAAAGTCACTATCGCTCCTAACAGATGTAAGGAAACTGAACACACCGGTACCATAGCCGATGTTGATGGAGAGGTGTCGAAGCGATAACGAATTCGCCTGGATGAGGCTTTTCATTGAGGGGAAAGATACATACGTCAAGGACAGGGAGCGAAGGCAGGAGATATTGAGTGGACTACCCCGACAGGATAGCGGCGGGGGCGCATCCCGAACATCGAGCGATTCTAGGACCACTGGAGTGGTTGCGATTTCCACATGCGGCGGGCGAGTACGCCACCCGAAATCGAGGTCCCACAGTTTTACATGTCGTAATTGGGTACACTTGCTAAGGAATGACTCCAAGTCGTACCAATGATCAAAGGACACGTCCCGCATACTGATATGGCGGAGGGCCGGAAGCTGGCACAACACCGATAGAGGGCCGGACAACGCCTGCCAGATCAGTGGAGTCGTGCGACTGTAGAGGTCGAGTAACGGCGTGCCGACCAACGTGAAGTGTCGCAGGTTTTGTAGTGAGGAAATGATGAGAGTGAGTGCGGTGTAGTCAAAGGATTTTCCGCTAAGGCCAAGGACCTTCACGTAGGACGCAAGATGAGGCCGGGAAATCAGCACATGTGCGAGTCGTCGACTGGTGTCGGGAGCCCGACCTGAGTCTGGTTCATCGAAGGCGCCGATATGGAGCTGGCAGAACAGACGCCTTTGGCTGGCTTCCGCGAATGGCCGGGATACGAGGGAACAGGACCTCAATGTTACGTTGCTGTCGACGTCCATACTTGCGCCGGGGCTAATTTGGTCGATCACAGCGCAAACGAGCTCTGGCGGGAACATCTTTAGCTATGGATGTTCAAGATGATATACAGAGGAATCTGAGGAAGAAGCTTACCTGGGACGACGCCTTTGGAGGGTGGGTTTAGTTAGAGCAACAGTTGGTGCCAATGGGCCACGAGCGGAGTTTGAAATGTGCACGTGTGCCGGCCCGACATCCGCCATCCGCGTCGTCTCGAAACGCAGCAATTCAGCGTCTAATAGCCCAGGGAAAAATGAGACCACTTCAATCTTGAAGAGCATAACCTGAAGCTATGAGATTTTTTGGTTCACAAGCCTTAATCCAACAGTAAACCATTATTATCCCTTTACTATAACCCGCTGGGAAGTGGGCCACCCCTAGGTAGTGGGCCATTGGGCAATATCAAACCAGCCATTTACTTTCTGGTACACTTTGTGATTGGGGGATGGAATACAACCTTGAACCTCTGTTTGTACCAAGATTGATGGCGGGATGATGTTCGGCCCGCAAGTTATGGCATCACACTGCCAGATGCAAGTTTTCAGGTGGGTTGATAATGTAACTTAAATTATGAATTTCAGAAACCAAATTCAGTACGCCTTAAGTTGCACCTTAAACTCTGATTTTCAGGACACCTGAAGTTGAAACTGAATATCTTATATTAAGTTACAACTTCAAGAGGCCTGAGGCCCTGAGTTTCAGCAACAATTTTTGCAAGGCTGAAATAGCACCTTAAATTATAAATTTCAGTTGCAGATTCAGCACAGGTGAAATTAATAATTTAAGGGTGCCCAAAAACAATAGTTTCAGTAGGCAATTAAGTCCTCCTGAAACAATAAGATTAAGGCATGATTTCAGCTGAACAATAAGATTCGGGCACAGTTTCAGCCTTCACCAGCTGAAATTGTGCATTTATCTTATTTTTTCAGGCAGACTGGAATGCCACCTGAAATTATTGTTTTCAGGCACTCTTAAATTATTAATTTCGCCTGTGCGGAATCTGCAGCTGAAATTTATAATTTAAGGTGCAAATTCAGTCATTGAGAAACTGTTACTTAAATTCAAAGATTCAGACCTCCTGAAGTTGTAACTTAATGTCATGTATTCTGCTTCAATTTCAGACATCCTGAAAAAAATTATTTAAGGTACATTTTTGGCCATACTTTATGTTGTTTCTGAAATTACAAAATTAGGTTACATTTACAGGGTTCCTGAAATCTTGCATTTGGCGGTGTGCATGTTTGACAGCCAGATATTGTCGTGGGAACCCACCGCTTAATGGCGTCAACTTCCATCGTCTCGTTCTCTGCGAGTTCTTCACCGATTTAGGACTTCTGGGGCTCATTATGTTCCCCTTAAGCTGTAGTTATTTTAAGGTGCTAACTTCCGTAACACACCAATCATTGTAACCTGCTTTTCCCTCCCATAAAGTAGGCTTGGAGGATCAGCGTGCTTCACATTGGCCGCTCTGCAGCGGGTAGACCCTGCTTAATCTTTGTGTACCTACCAGCTTAGAGATGTATCATTCAGGGCCTGAATGATACATCTCTATTCTGGTACACAAAGATTAAGGAGACATATTCCATGGACTCTGAGCATTTACCAATATTTCTTTCGGCCGATTCAGTGCTGGACCAGCATGATTGCTGCAAACCAGATATCAGCTGACATTAGGGGTGCTCAATTGCTATCTCGTGGGCCCGTCCCGTGGATTTATTTGTTCGAAACAA